TATATAATACAATTTCTAATTTTTGAAATATGATTTGAAATAATATTCAAGGCATCTTGAATACATAAATTTAAGATGTGACATGCACTCAGCAATAACTGGGCCACTATGTGGCCATTCAAGCCTAGTAAAACTTAAAATTCTTTTATTCAAAAGCCAATTTTCATCAATGAAATGGCCGGTAACACAAATATAACTAACATTAAGTTTGGATGTCCAAACATCCGAAGTAATTGCAACTTTAGAATTAAGATTTGCTAACAAAGAAATTAAATTTTGTTTATATTAATAAAAAAAATTAAAGCATCAGTTCTTATAGTATTCCTATAAACTTTTTTATATTGTGGGTTTACAAAACTACGAAACCATTTTTCTAACTTTGGATCTTCAGCTAACATAAATGGTTGTTCTACATGTACAATATACTTAGCAAGTTCTTGTCTCATTTTTTTCTTGTGAATATCTAAAAGTACCAAAATTAGTCCCCCTCCCAATTTGTGTTTGGGTTGTTTCTCTCCCTTCATCTTCCTCTCGTTCATGTGTGAGCAGATGTCTGCTTAAATGACCCGTACCACCCTTGCTACAATAACTAAAGTCTTTCCTACATTTTTCACAAACGGCCCTTTTCCCCTTCCCCTCAATATCCTTTATTTTGAAAACTTTCAAAACTGGGATACTTAGCTTAGAAGCCCTCCTTTTTCTCCTAGTATCACTACTATCGGGGGTGAAAGTTCAACTTCCATCAACATCAAACGCATCGGCATCAGTGCTAACACTAATACTATCGTGATACGATTGAATGTCATCCATGGTGAACATGTTCGGGAATTGGTTTTGAGAAGGGCCGGCCTTTTTTAATTCTAAAAAGATAAAAATTAATCTAATTCGACTTACCTAGATTGTCGGTTCAAAATCCCAACTTGATTTCAACAGTTGAAGCCTTTCAACGTCCAAGCCTCCCGAATTGAGATACTTGAGCTGGTTGAGCAAGCCTTCTTCTTGTTGAAAGTCGAAACTTCGATAAAGTTGAGACTTAAGAATTGGAGAATGCAGAATCAGACAATCAGCTAATAAGAATTTCTCAGATTACAGATAATTGAGAATGTATGAGTATGAGAGGGAGAGAGAGAGAGAGAGAGAGAGAAAATTAAGAGAATTGTTGAATTGGTGTGATGAGAATGGTGGAGGATAGGGCTATTTATAGAAATTGAACATAATTTAATTGCCCAAAATACCCAAAAAACTATCTATTATTTAATTGTTGGGAGGGGTATTTTGGTCATTATAAAGTTACTTATAACTTTACCCAAAATGCCCCCCTAAACTAGTTGTTATATAGTGGTTGGGGGGGCATTTATGTCATTTTTTCAACCCCCAAAAAGCTAAAACTAGCCATTGGGCCCCTTTGAAAGGGGGGCCCAACGGCTATATTCTCGAGTAGGCCGAGCACAGCCCGTTACGAGCTTGGCATGCCGTGTCGTGGGCTGGGTTGTGTCGGCACGCGGGCCGCACAACATGTGGTGTTGTGTCGTGCCGTGCCGGCCCATGGGCCTCGAACCCCCGACCCAGTACGGCATGGACCTCCGTGCTGGGCCTGGCATGGC